ACCTTTGATAAGCTTTTATAGCGCTGGAATTTCATCATTGGTCTTAATTCATAAAGCAAGAGCAGTTAATCTGTGGAACTAATACATGTGTGAAGGTTATTATGCACAAGGTTATTTTTATGCATTTTATGTTATTTTTGATGCCTCTAGCTTTAGTGTTTACTAACTTGAACAGCTATGCACATTGCCTAATCTGCACATCCTGCACCTGTATGCAGATATACATGAAATGTGTATTAAGTCCAATCATAGCTGACTAGATGATGGTTTTTGCGCATATGTGCAAGCTTCAGGCCATATACTCCTATTAAAATATTCATACATTTCTGCTTAAAATACTGCAGAAATTGTCAGTCGATGATATAGGAGCCCCCACTTTCCTATTAAATATCTTTGTATTTCCTATTAGCTTAACAATGAAACAATGAAAGCCTATTACTGTGTGCTGCTGCATTGGTCCAGTTTCCCCACTGAGATGCCTATCTTATCTCGGATTTGTGCTTCTTCAAATAAACAGAGGTGATGAATGAGCTAGTTTTTTTGTTGTTGGTGGCAGCACAGACAGATGGGGAGAGCTTTAGAATAGAAAGACGAGATGTGTTGTGAATGTGAATTACAGGCATGCAAGTGTCTTTATTTGTCTGAGACTTATGATGTCTTAATTTAGACACATTTATTGAAGGTGAGCTGTAAATGCTGATGCTGAGTTTGTTTACATTTTTTAATTGACATTGTTTTACATGTTCCAAATTCATTGATTTTGGACATTTATGGCAGACAGTTTCTGTCCATCAAATGTAAGCCTACAGCAAGCAGTCAGTTAGCTTACCTTAGCGCAAAGACCAGAAACAAGGGGAGCCTTGAGGTCTAACATATACGTTAAATACAATTACTCATAAATCCTCAGTTGTTTGCATCCACGTTTACTAGCTAGCAGTCTCCTTCTCCTTTAAGAATGATCTACAGTACGTATCTATCTTCCTTCACTACCATTGGCAGGAATGTGCATAGCGTCTCCTGTGTGCTTGTTCGCATGCAAATGTGCAAAGCAAAATGGGAACCAACTAGTAAAAATATTTCCCCATCCCCCCATGTAGCACTACAACTGGTCAAAAACTCCACAGGGCACAGCCTACCTACCAGCACCTCTCCAGTGCACACAAGGACAAGACTCTCACCAGTCAGATTTTTTTTACTACATATATGATCCATCCAAAACATCATCCATTTTCTCAGCAGTTTAAAGAAGCACTGCGGCTGGATGAAGGATAGGTAGAAGCAAAGTTAAAGCCAAATGATTTTCACCTCAGTGACAGTTATGGAGAATTACAGTGATAGACCTGAACCTTGGGTCTTATATTGTAATCTATGAGTGTGTGTCATGGAGATGAATGTTGATTGTATTGTCTTCTGCAGTGAGCACTAAACGATGCGATGATGACATGCAGTGTAAATCTGCCTCAGCTGTTACAGCGACAGAGTGGCTTGTGTGTAGCTTCTTGTGTGTGTGTTTTCCTCTTTGACATGCAGAGGGCAGCGCAGCAGTAATTAATGACTAGCTGCTAAATGGTGCTATGTGATCCTACATGGTAATGAGAAGGCATCAGTGTGGGGCCAGGCGTGACAATCAACTCAGCAGAGAGGAAAGCATGGGGGACGCACAGGTGACACCCAGCTTCACACAGGTCTGGAGAGGACTGTTAATAATAGGATTTATTGTGGGACTTTTTCATTATTCTATAAAAACACAATTTAGTCAGAGTGTCTGTCTGAATCAGCAGGGTAGTGGTGGCATCATCTTTGTTGTTTCCTTTTATTGTAGCTATAGTTTACAATGAAGGGTAAATGGAAGATCTGACACAGATTTATATAAAACTTATGCAAATGCACACAAGAAAAACATTATCCTTTTAAGGTGGCGCGAAGGCAGTGCACTCCAGCAGCAGCTTTGATGAAGAGAGATCGTTTTCTCCCTAGTTGGAATAACATTGTGTCCGACTGGCTCGGTTGGCACTCCAGAGAGGCTTCATTAAAGTACAACTTATAGCCTGTGTGTCTTGAAAGGAGATTTACTGTCATTTATTTATACATTACAATATCCTCATCTTGATAGTTATTGTCATTGCATCATTCAAGTTAAATGCCCCTGCACTCCCAAAAGAACTAATGACAACACTTTCTGCTTGCTCACTTCTGTAGAACAGCACACTAAAAATGTTAACTATTACTGTCACACGTGGTAATCAATACTAAATGAGTAAGTACATACGTCTGTATGTTATGACAAAGGATGTATCTCTGGTTATACCAGTGGTTACAGTATTCAAATGCAAAGCCAAACTCATTTTCACACTGAAGAGCACTCAGATTGCCTTGTTTCATCTTGCATAAAAAAAGAAATCCAAGTTGCTAGGAGAATATTAAAGTGTAAAGAAATCCTTTTCATTAGTGATATTTCATACCTTCTGCTTTTCACAAATCTCAACACTCTTACTAGAAACACCGTCAGTTAATTTAAATGGGTCCATCTCTGTTAAGTTTATTTCCAGTCTCGTCAGTCTGTGTGAGAAACTTCATTCCTGAACACATATACTACACTTCCAGACCTAATCATCCCATTTTTATTTGCAAATTAAATTCTCTTGACATAACATGACACAAGTGATTCAGTAATGTTGACAATATACTGCGCATTTATAGCTAAATCCTTTTTTGCCATCCGTGAGCTGTACGCGTTGCATTTATATATGTATATACTCAGAAATATCTTTAATGTCAGTGATTAAGTAGCTTTAACGTTGGAAAAATAATTCTATTTCACACTGGCTACACAGCGTTAGATTGTAATGGCCCACAAAGTTGTCAGTCAATATCTAGAAATAATGGGTCCCTAGATAGCTCGCCTGGTAGACCTGGCGCCCCATGTATGAAGGCTGAGTCCTTGCTGCAGTGGCCATTGATTCGACTCTGACCTGTGGCCCTTTGCTGCGTGTCATCCCCTCTCTCTACCCCCTTTCCTGTCACTCTTCAGCTTTCACTATCAATTAAGGCAATAAAAGCTCCCCCACCCCCACCCCAAAATATATATGAAAAAATATATCAAGAAATAATTTTATGACAGTAAACAGTTACACAATACTTTCATGTTCACAGGTTAAGTCATGATTTACACCAAAGTAGAAACAAAGGATCTGATTGTTGGTGAAACCAGATTTTTTTTGGCAGGATGAAGCTTGCATACTGTTCATTGCTGGTTGTTTAAATTTTTCTCTTAGTTTGATGAAGTTTGATTTGGGTGAAAGAATGTTGTATCACATGTGTCAATCTCTTCTGCTGTCCCATTCTGTGAGTCAGTATAAGAAAACGGGTGAATTTCATGTAAAATCTTGCCAGATAAATCTATTTCTGGATGTGTTTCTAGATGTCATCATTAGTCCATCATTAGTCACTGGGTACATACGCCAAGAAACTTCTTCAGGCAATTTTGGGCTTATATTACATTATGGTTAACTAGAAACAATGAAGGCACAAATGTTGATAGAGACCTTGGTTGCTCATAAACTTTAATATGTTCAATACATTCCCTTGTTTTAGGGATTTATTTTATAATGTTGTATATACCTAAAAATCTCTCCTGGCCAAATTGCTTCATGTGACCTGCAGTTTTGACTGTGGCCTCTATATAAATCCACAGCTGAGTTCTCATCCTGAGGGCTTGATTACATTCTCATGCAGCTGATCAACCAGAGAACCAGACAGCTGATATTACATTTAAATGAAATGCTAATTAACCAGATCTACACGTCCTCACGGCCAATGCACCATGGGACTACAGAGTCTTGTTCTCTCTGTCTTGCTGTCCGTCTTCTTTTCTTCTCTGTCATTGTCTATTTATGACTGGATCATTCTCTTTTTTGTCATCTGCATTTTTCCTTGACTCTTTTCCCTTATTCACATTTTCTTGCACCTCAAGCTCACCCATCAGCCTCTCAATCTTTCAATTTTCTGCCATGATGAAAAGCACTTAAACTTATCGCTCCATCTGTTTATTACATGCCACCTCCACTTCCTTCTCCACCCCCTTTTCTCTCTCTCCTCCTCTCCATCTGCGTGTGTTTTCAGCAACCTTTATATACATCAAACTCATCCTGCTAGTGCCCTTTATGTCCACCAACACTACCCTGTGTTTTTTTTCTACACTTTTTTACACTTTGTAGATGCAAACTTTGAAAAATAGGCTATCATTGTGGTTTTTAATTAAATGGGTCAATTATGAGCTTGTGAAACTCTTCATGTTCCCACAAAGCCAAGAGTTGGTGAGTCAGTTCAGAGAACATTGTGCCTTTGCAATTTCCTGGACAAAGAGGGCTAGTGGTCGGTTTTAAATTCTTTTAAAACTCCTTCTGTTACGCATGACCTGTTATTTAAAGTGGCAGAAATGGTAGCCATATTTCTGCTAACGGGATTGATATCCACAGGGCTGTCAGCTGTGGAAAAAAAGAAGCCTTTTCCCCAGAGGAAAGGGGTGCAAAGGGGACATTTCGAGCGAAAGCACATTATACCTAAACTGCCAGCTCTATCAGCTCGAAGCATAGACATGTACATGTGTGTCTAATGTTTTATACTGACTGAAAGACATTAGCCATTACAAAACTGTTCATATGTCAAGGAAGGAAAGATAGCACTATGGGTTAAGAATTTAGTCAATAGGTAGTTTTGTGTGTCATTGGTTGAAAACCTTTTCTGTAATTATGATCTCTCGCCTTCAGACTCTGGAGGTCTGAAACTGGTTATTGATTTCTCTTGGCATCAGTGCTAATTTCCTCTTTGTTGATCTGTTGAAATCACTTTGAGTGTCGATTAATTAGCAAAGTGCATTGTGCGTTTGGTATTAAAGCTGCTTTCAAACACAATATCTGAAAGATGTAAGCGGTGAGTCAGTGTTAGTAGGCTGCAACATTTTGACATAACATTGTCCTTTTTCTCCATCTCTGTCACAGATCACATTCTTCATGCTGCTGTCAGCAGTGTGCGTGATGCTCAACCTGGCGGGCTCCATCCTCTCCTGCCAGAACGCTCAGCTGGTCAACTCCCTGGAAGACTGTCAGCTGGTGAGACCAACTGGACCTCAACCCATGCACTCTCCAGCTTTATACCCCACACTCGACTTGTTAAAATGGACGAAAGAATGTCCATCTTAACAAGTCATTTAATCTGGCTGTCAGTTTTTGAGGGCTGAAAACCTTTCCTATATCTCTCTGACAGTGGAAGAAATTATGCAGTGAAGCTGGCCTATTTATACATTTTCTTGAATTAAATGTCTGAACCTGATTGATGCAATATGTGTCACAGATCACACACCCCTTCTTCTCAGTGATAACCCAACATAGACACATCACACACATATTGATAGAATTAGGACAACTCTTTCCAGTGATATCAGTGTCTCCAACTTGACTTTCCATGGTGCAGATTTGCCAAAATGTAATGAAAAAAAGTATTTTTAAAATGAAAATATTTTATTTTTTATTTGCTTGAAAACGTATGGACATACAGTTGCGTTTTTTTTTCTTCGTTTTAAAAGATGTATAGTACCACTAGCATGCCAATTGATAGCCTAACACACAGTATATGGCATGCATCACATCAGTAACACATCATCGCTAACACGTGTTCTTAACAAAGGAGAAAATAGCCAATGGTTAAAAGGGTTTATGGTTTATTAGTTGGATCACTTCAGAAGCTGTAAGATGTCACGCTGAAGTGCAAGACTTGTGTTGAATTTTGTTGTTGTTGTTGGTATCCATCTGTGAAACCAGCAACTATGAAGTCAGTGAGTAATAGGCATGTGTCCATTGTTTTCTGCATGAGTCCACATTTGAATTCATGAACGTAGGCACATGGCAGGCTGAAAGGCAGCACTTCTGTTCTGAGCAGGCTGTAGAACTGAGTCAACATCAAAAGTAAACTCAACTATTTGTCTGTTAGTGACTAATGCCTCGTGATTATCACATCCATCTTTGCCAGAATCGAAGACGGCTAAAATACAGATAAACAACTTTGAATGAGTACTTTAGCTCCTATCCATAGGGTAGGGAGAATCCAAAGAGACAGTTTAAAAAAAAGTGGTCAAATTCAAAGTGAGATATTCTTACTTTAACTTACACAGCTTTTACTCATAAAGATACATTAAAGGGGCCAGAAGGAGTGGTTGTTTGATGGGCAAACAGCTTCAGAAGCCGTCTACCCAACAGCTTTCCAAAGAAATGAGTGGGGCTGCATTCAACCATTTCTGTAACTTTCCAAAATCGTTAATCTGACATTCATGGCAAATTCATGTAGTGATTGGCCAGGTGAGAAAAGCAGAGATAAGACCAAGTCATTGTTTTGTAAGTCCCAAATAAGACTTAACACTAAAGTCCCAAGTTAAGTCCCAAGGCAAGTCCAAAGTCCTCTACTTGGAGTTTCAAGTTCTTTACAAGTCATAATGCACTTTGCACGTTTACAAAAGGCCATTTAACAACAGAGTAATATTGTATTAAAGAGCCCATATTATACTCTTTTTCAAGTTCATTCTTTTATATGGGGGGTTTACTAGAAAATGTTTTACATGCTTTAGTGTTCAAAAAATACATTACGTGTTACTTGTTTTGGCTGAGCATCAAAGTACGAGATGGGGAGCAGTCTCTTCTGTTTAAACAGATCATTGCTGTACTTTGGCTGAAACAGAGCCTGTGGAATGGAAAAACTAAGGGGGGTTCTGCAGTGAACATGAATACATGGAATACTTTTTAAATAACATTTTTAATCTCTAGTCCTAGGGGATCAAGTATGAGACTCGAGTCTACAACTCTATGAGAAAGTAAACTTTACACAGCTATTTCAATCACTTTCATTGAGTCAGGAATGCCTTCGAGAGTGAAAGTGCTTTCATGTGTAAACCATCATCGCCATATTTAATCAATATTGTATTTCCTTTCTCTCCACTGGCAAGTTTTTTGAGTTTTGAGTATAAATGGTGAGTTAGTTCCTATATTATCCAAAAACTCTGGGGCCTTCGCATCCCAAAATGAACCCATTCTTTTCTTCGTTTGTATTTCAAACTCCATAACCCCAAGCCAAAACTAAGATAACCCCTGATGACATCACTAGGGTTGTTTTCTCAGATGTAATAGAGCTCCTCCAGAACCACAAAAGACATCATACAAGTGTTTTCACAAGATGAGTAGAACTCACCTGTGTACATTTTATAGAATTACTCTTTAATTGGAGCTCAAATGGGTTTTTTGTTTTTTTTTCACAAGTAGTTTCCACCAGACATATGATCTCTGCACTCTGGTGGTGCTGACATCATGGAAAACAAGAGAATCCAGCACCCTTCAAAATAAGCGTATTAAGCTTTTCCTCCTTGCAGCTGGTGATCAGAGGTAGTTGGACACAGAACACTCAGTCTTCACATTTTTATAATGAGACACTAAGCTGATTTTCTAAGCTGAATTTATATAGCCAAGGAACCCATGGCTATATAATCTTTTTTGTGACTGAAGAAGCCCCTTGTGAATTATCCAGCACCCAACCCACTAACCCGACCACTTCTACATTGGAAGCAGCTTTTCTCCCTACGCAAGTGGGACCAACCAAGTAGACCAACTTCACTGCTTTATGTGGCTCCCCAGGGAACCTCCCCCAGTCATGACTGAAACGTTAACGTTCCTCATCTCCTCTCCCCAATGTAATTAACCCACACTTGTTGGGTTCATGTCCTGCTTTCTCTCAATCTGGGACACATAGCAGAGGTATGCTCTACCGCGATCCCTCCCTTGGTAGCTCCTCATATCTCACAGCCTCTCTTCTTTTGTTGTACACTTTTGATCATCCATATGCAGCTGCCTTTCTCAATCACGATATAGTATTATATTTAATTAATCTTCTTGTCCGTAGTCAGTGTATCTTCCATCGTATTAAATTTAAGGATAATACATCAGTACCCCAAGCTCAGGTCTGATCTGTGCGTGTGTCTGTGTGTGTGTCTGTCTGTGTTTGTGTGTCTGTGTATATGGCGTGCATGCATGAGTGTGGATGTGTGTTCCCCCCCCCTCCCCCCCAGCTCAAGTTTGACAGCGATGGAGTGTGTGTGTGCTGCGAGCTACAGCAGCAGAGTTCAAGCTGCAACAACCTGGGAGAGACGCTGAAACTGAATCCACTGAGGGACTGCAACACCATACGCCTACGTCTCAAGGTTGGTGGGATCCAGCATGTGTTTGTAATGTGCTGATGGTGAGAGCTAGGATGTTTTAAAAACATTCTATAGAGAGTTGAGTGTTCAGACTGTATAATAAAAAAGAAGGACGTAGTCTCCATGATGTCAATGAATGTGGTCGGCTCTGGCCATTGCCATTTTGGCAGTCCTGACTGCGCCGACTCCAAAAATGGGCAAAGACGTTAGAATGGGTGGAGTTGAGGCTGGCTAAAATCAACCACCTGTGATGGCACGCACCTGTCACTCAAAGCAGCCATGCTGTTAATTATGCATAACTTTATACCTTGATATAATTTAAATGAGTGACTTATATTTATTTCTGCTTTAAAGTGGAGCATTTTAATATGGGGCCTTATGGAAACTCACTTCTGTAGCCAGCCTCAAGTGGCCATTTTAGGAACTACAGTTTTTGTTAATTCCATGTTGGCTTCATGTGTCAAGGTTGCTGCTTGCATCAGACTGTAGGTCAGTTGGATTGATTTGAAAAAAAAAAAAAAGAGAACTGTTAATACTGATTGATGCAGCAATACTAATAGTTATGGTAGCAACATCAAAACAGTGGAGATGTATCCTCTTGTTTTTCACATCGTAGCAGTATTCCATTGCTGTACAATTGTTTTTTTTGTTGCACCCACCAAGAATGGTAGATGTTGACTTATGCAGCCATACTTTATGCTGCTATCATGGCTGGCTTTAACCACAGTCACTGCTGATGCCAACATTGCGAGTGAATGTTGTCAATGTGCGAGTGGCCAGCCTGAGACACAACTCCAGAAACTTTGTTTACCAGACCTTTCTGAACACACATTCCAGAGTTGAAGGTGTAGATGTGTGGAAAAATGCATTTGGGGCAATTAAACGCTTCAGGCTACTAGATTTTTATCTGCAGATGTTACCTTTCTTAACCAAGGTACCAGAACGGCTCTAGCGATGGCAATGTCAGCTCAACACTTTGGTCCAGACTGAAATATCTCAACAAATATTGGATGAATTGTACAGCCTCACAGAGCTGCTAGCATGGCCACAGACTCTACCAGACTATTCTTGTTTCTTCTTTAATCAGAATGAAACCATTAATTGCATTAACAGTCAGTACACGTTCAAAAAGTGTCTTTAAATTGCTAAAATTATCAAGTCTAAACTGATGTCCTCTGCTTTTCTCTCTCACTGTGTAACATATCCCACATGAGAACAGTCAAACAACATTGGAAATACAAAACAAAAATGTGTTCAGTCTCAGATTAATTCGGCAGGAAGTGGAGAATGGCAACAGCATTTGTCTTTCCCCAAGAGGCAGACCTCTTAGTATGCAGTGTATGTCTAGCCTGGGCTGGCTGTAGTTTGCGAGTGCATGATCTCAGTAGATTATCTTGACTCAGAGTGTCTGCAGGAATGATATACAGTATGTGCTACTGTGCCTTTATTGGATAATGACAATCATATCCATTCATTTTATGCCCCTGATTGATTATAAAACATTGATAACCAAATAAAAGACTTCATAGGATGAAGCATGCTTATGAAAAGAGGAAAGATCAAGCACATTTGTCATTTTGATCATAGCTCATTAAAAGAGATATGGGAATTGGTGCTGTAAACCTTTATTAAGTGCCAAAGTAGTCAGATATGTTGAGTTATATCTAAGAGGAAGCTGTCATGCCCAAGTCCCCAGAGTCTTCGGCCATTTCAGATGGCTGTTAGGCTGTCGCTGGTCATAATGAACTCATGATGCAGCTGCCATATAGTTCCTCCATCACTAAACCGAAGAGTATGGAGAGAATTGAATTATCACAGCAGGTAGACTATTAGACCGACTTAAGTCTCATATTCACTCAATATCTCTTCTCTGTTTAAAAGTTTTGTCTTTATCAAGCAGTCTGCACTATCCACGCTGCTGCTGATGTGTGCCATTCACTCTTTTCAGACGCATTTAATTTCCGTCCCGTTTTTCTTTTCATTTCATTGTGCACTGCCTGGGGCCGTAAATTATCAGTGAGAGGGAGTATTGAGATAATTTGTGATTTCCTGTAAGGGGGCGGATGTGTAACCTTGCTGTGTAACTCACTAACTTGATTGGCTTGAGGCAAGGTATCTTCTAGAGGTTAAATATCTTCTGTGGAGGTGTTATTCATTTCTTTGCCTGGTAGGGTTTATTATGTCATTATGTACATTGTGGGCACAAGGGAAATCACAGAAATGCACCGTCTCACATCTGCACAACAGATGCATTCCCATAACAACAATTAGCTCAAATGAAGACGCTGTAAATGCTCCATGCTTGCTGATCAACTTTGTGATCTACAGCTTTGATGTTTGAGATTTGTTTGGAAAAACTACATTTACTGTAATAAACCACCAGAACACACAACAAGGAGACAGTTGCACACAAGTTTTTTACTGCGGTATACGGTAATCTCAACTTTATCTCCAGTCAGAGTCTTTACAATCAAAGCTGCACAGCAGGATAGATAAATGATCAAGAGTGAATGTATTTCAGTCAGACAACTCACATGGATTGTATTTATTATGTGAACACAGTGAATGTACAGAGTTGATGTTTCATGTCAAGACCCTTAACTGCGGAGATACACACTGGAAGAACCTCCTACCTACTGTCTCGCTATTAGTTGACTGTTGCCTGTAGTTTTTTATGGTGTGTTTGGCACCGTTTGCTCTAGTTGTCCCAAATCAGCTGCTGCTCGGCCTATTGATTTTGTTGAATCTTCATGAGAAAACTGTCTTAGCAGTTATGCAGCCTCACAAATTTTTAATTTTCTCCATTCAACTGCTGTTTCTGCTTTTTATCTCCTCTGCGTCATTTTCCACAAGACTGATAAGACTGTCCATAGCAAAGCAAAGGCATATTCTCAGTTTGTATTCTGAGCAAATTATGAGACGTTAGTCAGAGTCACAGGGAAAGACATGAACATGTCTCGCTGGTTTCTTTTGTCAGTTTGGATTAAAGATCCAGTGTGCAACAGTTAACATATATAGGTATGTTTTTATAAGTGTATAATCACCTGAAAATATGAATCGTTGTGTTTTCGTTACCATAGAATGAGCTGTTTTTATCTACAGAGGGAGCGGCTCCTCTACTACGGACTACACCATGTTGAACTGTCATGTTTCTACAGTAGCCCAGAACAGACAAACCAAACCCTGTTTTTTTGTGAGTTTCGTGGCCACCATAGTTTCCCCTTCATGCTTGTTTAAGTCAGTTTGTTGCAATCTCACAGAGGGAGAGCTTTCAGTCAGACATCCAGAAGAAGAAATCTGAATTTCTTAATGATTTGGACATCACTGGACGAGTTGTTATTCATCTGGGAGGACAGACAGGGCGTGAGCCACCTGGACAGCTGCAGAGGAATCTTTACGGCTCCAGGATGTAACAAATTAGAATTCAATTGGAGGATTTAATCTCTGTAGACTTGAGATGAACTTGTGTTCTGTGTGGAGGTTCAAGACCCTTATAGTTATTCTAAAAGCTTTTCTGTACTACAGGGAAGCCCATTTACAATATCTGCTGCTCCCTGTCATTGGAGGTTAGAAAATCTCTGAAGGCCTTTGCCAACAGTCTGGACTGACCCCCCTGAAACTGCTGCAGGGCTTCCTTAGGGAAGTGCTGAGTTTTCTGTCAGATTCTGTAAAAAAGCTGCTTTGGGATGCCAATGAGAGCCGTGGTCAACTGTGACCCACACAGAAACTCCATGTCAGCTGGAGAAAAGCAGGGTCCTCTGCTCTACTGCTCTACTCTACTCTGAGCCTGTCGTACTTAAGGGAGCTAGCCGGAGCAGCTAGTGGAGGCATGTATGTAGTTTGTGTCAGGTTAAGAACTTCATAGCACGAGAGGCAACAGTTGAGTATCAACCAATTCCAAGTCTGCTGTAAGGCCCAGACTGCCACACAATTTTCCACTATAAGGTTGTGGTCAGACTTGGCAGCATCACTTCCAAGATGCCATTTTACTCTTAAATACAGTCAATGTGGAATCATCAGAGACATAAATGACATAAATGTTTCAGTTTTATAAATTTGTTACCCCTATCATTACAGCTTCAGGTATATAAATTGATTTGCAGAGGCCTGAGACATTGAACATCCTTTTATTGTAATCAAAGTTATGTTGTAATTGTCTGGTAATGAACTTGAAGGTGAAGCTTGAACACATGGTGCTTTGCTTATTGTCATGGATTACCTTACTTTTAAGGCCTTCCTGAGGGAAGTGCTGAGTTTTCTGTCAGAGGCTGTAAAAAAGCTGCTTTGGGATGCCAATTTTGCCGAGCTAATTTTCTAAATATACTGAAATGAATTCAAACCAAAAGCTGCCTCGTCATCAGAATTAAAGAAGGGTCATAACTCTTTTCCAATATAAGAATTCTATTTTAATTTATATGATTAATTTTATGATTGTTTTGAGATATCTTGCCTTTGCTACTGTAATTCTCGCTAAGATAAAAGCAGTTACAATATCCTATTACCAGTTCTGTTTAATGACAGACTTGTGCTCCATCTACAAGTTCTCCAGACTTTCCTCCCACAAAACATGTTCCAAAAAACGTTAGCTTCCAAGGCAAAGGTGTATTAGTTGTATTTTATAATTGGCATTGCACAACTTCAATTTCACTGCTTCCAACTAATTTCTGCTTTAAGTTCCAGCTCACACAGACTTGATCTTTGGCAGCTAGTTACTGGACATCAGGCATGTTTGAAAAACAGTTGCAGGGCTGGCAACTCTGAATGTCTCAGATGCCAACTTGATCTATTTCAATATCACAAACTTCAAATGGAATGGCAGTGAGTAATGCGATGTGGTTGGCAAAAAAGTTGCTGCTTGCTGTAAACAACTCGCCTGAACCTCCTTTAAAATGTCGACAAGTCTGACAACAAACCCCTTCCTGATAGATCTGAGTAAGGGAGACGGCTGTCCTGTCTGCAGATTATCAGCAGCCTAATACGAGTGGGGTTTTGTAATGTCACTGGTAATTATATGCCTCCTGAATCTGGTGAATAATCTGTGCGACAGGCTGGAAAACACTTTATGTAAATGAGGAGCTTCGTTCATTAAAAGTGAGGTAGTGAGGTTTTAATTCCAGTGCTGAAAGTCTCTCCTGTTCTTGTCTCTAAGGAATTATTGTTATATTCATAAATATTTTACACCTGTATGGTAAGTTTGTGGTGGCATGGAGGGGTGGCAGAAACTTATGTTGATTTCATCGCAAACAATCACAAATATCAATATTTGCTTGGAAAAGCCCCAAATGAAGATTTTTGAACTCAAAAACATTACATTATTGTGGCACATAACATCTAAACAGAAATATCTAAAGGTGGCATTAGAAATTAACACATTTTCAAATTTCTTCTCAAGCTCAAGCTTAAGTCTATCACTTAGTCTACTGTAACAGATCATTATATTAATTCCTGTTTTTTTAACATGTTATTTTAAATTCAAATGAATGTGTTAAATTTGACAGCACTGGACATCAAACTGGAGTGGCCAGGCATTTTTAAGGTGTGGCTGCTGCCCCAAACCTCTAGATATGCCACAATTTGATTCACTTCCTTATGAGATATTTATATTGAAACATCCAAAATCAGTCACACATTCATCCCGGTTTCTGCTTTATCTCTTCACTCCCTCTCATCTTTTTTTTTTTTTTTTAAAGTTCTTTTTTTGGTCTTTTATTGGATAAAGACAGCTGTAGATAGACAGGAAAGGTGGGTAGAGAGAGAAGGGATGACACACAGCAAAGGGCCGCAGGTCGGATTCTAACCCGGGCTGCTGCTGACAACCCATATAACTCCGTATATAGGTCGCCAGCTCTACCGACTGAGCTAACCGGGCACCCCACTCTCATCTTTTAACAGTCTTACACTGTTTGATGATAATAGTCCTGATAATTATATTATGATAGTGATTGTGTAATTGAATTTATTGCGACAGATGAACCTTGTGAACCTTATAAAGAAGAACAGCATATATTTTGTGGTTGTATTCAAACAGCTGTGGGGGCTGCAGATCACCTAGACCAATTTTATAAACATAAAATCAAACTCATTTTGAAGCAGCAATACAGGCTGCTATCATCCTCTCTCCTCTCAACATGCTCCATGTCCTAGACAGCTGCTATTCCCAGAGCCTGTTTCCAGACATGTGGTATTACTGTTCCTGTGCTCTTCCTCAGGAAATCAATTCATATAGTACAGTTATTATAGGTTCATTTGTTAGGACATACAAAGCTCAATATGGTTTGAAAATGAATCCACTTAATGATGATTATTTTCTACCTTTTAGAAATAATAGCACAAACAGCAGCATGACGAGACTGCAGTCATAAGTCTTTTCTCTGATTCAGGGTGCTAGGCTAGTATTTCACCAGCATGCACATTTATTTTTGCTGACAGATTCAATACTGGTTTGTCCCCTTGCTGTTCACTGCATTGCCAGAGTGTGAATGTGTATGTTCGTGCTTAACCTTGGATGTTTATGAGGTTGTTTTCCCTATTATTGAATTTGTTTGCTAGGCTTGCTGGTACACAGACATCATATTTCTTTTTATCAGCATTTAACTTTTTTTTAATTTGTTCCAGATATGTTGACATTCTCATATTAGTGCAGACGTTTGTCGAAGTGTTCTCACTGCAGTGCCACCCTGTTGTGCTTCACTAAACTTGGTTACCTTACTGGTGACGTCAACGCTGTTTGTGTCACCTCCTTTCCTTTCTGTGTTTTCTCCTCGTATTCCTCATTCACCTCTCTTTCTTCTCATTCTACTCATCTTTAATGTTTATAATATTAATTGTCTTCTCTTCCTCTCTCCTCTCCTCACCTTCTCTCCGACACCCTTGTCATTTTTCCACACTCTTCCTCCTCCTTCCTTCTTTTTTTTTTTAACCCGTTCCTCTAACAGTCTCCTCCTCTCCCCTCTCTCTCTTTTAGGAGCTGCTGTTCAGCGTATGTGCCCTTAATGTCATCTCCACCATTGTGTGTGCTCTAGCCACTGCCATGTGCTGTATGCAGATGGTCTCAACTGATGTGCTGCAGATGGTGAGTGTGATGGAAGACCAGATGACAATAATAGCTGACTTTATTTTCTTTTTTTTCCCGTGACCACCCTGCATTTAAAGAATAAAACCATTTTATAGTCTGAAGATCACTATCATCAGGTTAGATAAACGCATGCAGCTCAGGAATGATGTGCTAACCTTTATCCCTTTAAAGATAGTGGAGAGTAATGTTTGCAGTTTTGGTTGAATCACCCTACTTGGTAAATACAAGTTAACGTAAACAAGCACAGTGAAGGTCAATTGCCACAGGACCTCTTTTAGTTTTTCTGCTTCTCAAAAATATGTTGGATTTGAAGAAAACAGCTTAATATCTCACAGGATTTTTTCCTCAAAGGTACACCGTCCTCAGTATGACCCTCTTTTGTCTTTTTATGTGGAACAATGGAACTATTACCAACAGCTAAATGCTTTTAGTCATGAGGGAAATTAGCATGGCCAAGCTCCCTTTGTGTTTCACACCAACAATAGTTATTTCATGCCTTTAAACAACTGGAAAGGTATAGAGCAACACTGCCAACATGATACCAAATGTGAAATAGCTTTGCAGCAATATCTGATGCAAGAACCCTTTTCTCTTTGCACATTTTATGGACTATGCTGTAAATTTTGTGCTTGCTGAAACAAGTCTGGATATTAAAACGAGTGCTCTGGGCTAGATGTGAAGCTTGGTTTGATAATAGGTTGAAGTGGCACGAAATCAACAGTGATCTCACAGTCATATTGTAGCCAGTAAAATAAATTAAGTTGAACTCACGGTACAAAGCACTGACATTACATTAGTCTCTTCTCCATAGAGTCACAAGTCTACATATGTAGATCATTATGTAAATTAGAACTGACCAAATGGCTGCTGCAAATTTATGAATATTGACTTTTCTCAGTTCTGTGGAGCTTTTTAGCCTCTTTAAGCTCATTGTTTAGTTTTTTTGGCCCACAACTTTCGAGCACTGAACAACAGACATACAAAGCTGGTAAACATAACTCAACATTTATCTGTTAAATACATTTATCATGTATTTTCCTCAGGATTTGGTAGAAGCCAAAACAAAGCTAGAAGGAGAGTGAATATTAGACTACATTCATCAGTGGTCAGAAACTCTAAACTGACGATAATGTTGCTCCACGTCTGCAGGATGTTTAAAAAGGCAGCTGTTTCAACTTCACAAGACGATTTTATGTCAGTGTTGTGTTTACATCCAATTTCCACTGCCCCTAGTGGGCAAAAACACAGTTAATGCATGTTCAAAGTGATAACTACATAGATTTACTTGATCCCTGGGACAGGACCATAGAAATAAGGTTATTACTCTTTTATTTCTGACTATTTAAGAAGAGACATACAGATGATTAAGAAGGCAAAAATAAATTCATTTGAAGCTGTTTGAATTAAAATGGAAACATTATTCTCCCATTGAAATAAGGACATAATTCACAGTGGTCCCTGCTTCAGGGACTTTTTTTATTTTTATTTAAGATAAAAAATAAGCCAAGTCAAATCAAACTGTAGAATAAATAAAAGGACACAAGCACTCATATATCCAACACTCTCACAGAGTTTCCCAGAGTGGCCTCGTTTCCCATTTACCACAAGAGGTGTTAACCTTTTATTTAGCGCAGTAAATTTAGCCAAGTCAATAGCAGCAGTGGCAGCCTGGAGATTAGAAAAGAGGGCTGGCTGTGACTGGAAACTTGTCCCACTTAGAAAAGTCTGAGAGAGGAAAGTAAATGAGCAGCACTTTCAGCACTGCTGGTTGAGGTGCCCCTGAGCAAGGCACTTGACTCGCAGTTGCTACAGTGAAGCTTGTTCAGTGACCAACAGCACAACAGGGAATACATGTAACTGCTTAAAATAACAGCGGAGTGGTGCTGTGAAAAGACACATTTGCTCAGTCATGTCTCCCTGGATAAATTATGGTCTAAAATAATGACTACACAAATAAGTACCATGTGTAATAAAGGCCTGATAATGGTTCTTTTTATGCTGTGTTTCAGTTTATGCCGCACAGAGCGCGAGCTCTAAATGCTGACTGTATGACCCCCCATGGAACCATCCTCCACCAAACTCTGGACTTTGATGAGTTTATTCCTCCCATCCCCCCTCCACCATATTACCCCCCAGAGTATACCTGCACCCCCTCAATGGATGGACAAAGGTGAGAGGCATTACACTACTCATCACCTTCACATCTTTTCTCAGTGCTAACACAAAGAACTCCCTGAACTCTGGTAACAATGTGTCTTCTGGGATATGTGGGTACTTTCAGGGAAAGCAAAATAAAAACTCTAATTTGCTAATTTCTTAACAAATATAGTCGGAAAATTACAAGACGTTGTAATTATACACAACAGTCTACTTGGATAATTAGAATGTAATGTAAATGTATAAATCCCTTTAAGCCCAAAATACTTTGCGAATTACATTTTCAGTTATACTTTATCGATTCCCTCGCTCAGTGGAAAAGACACAACTTTTGTTGTTATTGCTTAATATAGGAAAGTATAAAATCCATCTATATATTCTACCATGGTGGAAATGAACACAAAGTGTAGTGCAATCCTGAAAATCATATTTGTTATATTAAGCACAGTTAAGAGAATATAAGTTACTGATTGCAGTGGGAATAAATGTGTTCTTGCCAAAGGCAACATGAAGCACCACCAAGAGGGAACCAATTCAAATTGGATATCAAAGTGCTGAATGTTCTCCTTAAAAGAAGAGATTTTTATTGAAAAGGCCTATCTCAACATTTTCTGCAATATTTATTGTACGTAAAATTGCTGCAAGTGTTTAGTATTTCAGGATACTGTACCTGGCTCAGTGCCCTCTCCTTGAACTGCATTCATATCTAGGAATATCATAGGAATAAGTGGAAACTTATAGTCAGACTTGAACACATTTCTTCAAATTTTACAAAATAGCACACATATATTTAAGATTCTTCTAACATAATTTTTGGATTCTATAACTCCCTACCTGCCCCTCCACAGACACCTGAAATACACCAGATACTGGAGGTCTATATGTGACATAAAAGTGGTTATATACTTATTAGAAAAATTGATCATAGGGTCAGAACCTGGAGAAACATTTTTGAGGACACAAAGCCCCATGAGGACACACACCAAAGAAAAGAGAAGAAACTTTTACAATGGGAGTAACTGAAAGGATGAGGACTAACATATTTTTGCTGGTATAGCACAACACTGTTGAAAACTGCTATAACATTTTTATGTGAATAATTGACCACCTCAGAATCTCCTATTAGATGGTGAATGTACAGATGCCAAAGCAACATTTGCATCCAAAGACCAATCCAAATCCATCACAGTATGTAGCAGTGGCATGGCTCAGTGTTTACTATCTCACTGTGTCTATCACATGTGGTATTATCATCCATGGTCAGCTCAGAGCTTTTCTCCCTGTTAAGCAGCTGTGACATCCGTGATTCTCAGCTGTCGTGAAAGATCGTTTGACCCCTTCCCTCATCACTCCCTACATTTTCTTGCCAGAGAGAGCGCTGCTGATTTAGTCATTTGGCAGGAAGCCACATCTGTTTGTCAATTATGCCATAAATATATACAAGGCAGAGGAAGCATTTATGGTGTCCCTGCCCGGGGCCAGGGATGTGTCATGACATCATCATGCCTCGGATGATTGGTGGAAACACTCAGGTTGTATTTCATGCTCTGCCACTTTGGGGAGAATGGGGTTGTAATTAAAAGATATGACTGCACGCATGGCTGCTTGTGCTTAATTGGCACCATATGAAACGGTAGTGCTGCACATAGAAAAACACACTACCTGTATATATTGTGTTGGGACAGAGGATATTTTTCATCCTTTTCTCTGTTTTAGCAAAAAAATATACTGCAATTTTGACTTAGAGAGGATGCATATTCAGACTTGCTGCACCACTTTCATGCACACTCTGCACTATGTGACTGGCTCGGTGGACTCTCCACTCTTTGCATTCCAATTATTTGAGATATGATTTGGACTTGGTTTATTGTTTGGTTGAATCTCTGCTGTTATGCCCCTGACAGAGGCCTGCACCTGGACTTTCCCCACTCTCCGTTCAGTGCCATCTATGGGGTGCCAATCAACAGCCCAGGAACACTGTACCCAACGGACCTGCCTCCTCCCTATGAGTCTGTAGTGGGGCAGACCCCTGCCAGCCAGGTGAGAGGCATCATGTGGCTCTGCTTTTAAAACAACACTGTCTCCAGAGGCCTTCTGTATGGGAAACTGGGTCTTGGACATGACATTAATTTATTTGTTTCCAAAGAGAGCAGGTCAATGTTTTAACCTTAAACACACATAGATTTACACATGTGCAGCAGTATTAATATTACGAGTCTAGAGTCGTGCTAGCAGTTCTGTGAGACTGTACTTTGGGACATCACCACCTAAATTGCTAAAATCACCACCTTAGTTCAGCATGCTATGATTGGCTAATTAACAGTAAACACAAAGTACAGCTGAGGCTGATGGGGATGCCATTAGTTTTGCAGGTATTTAACAAACCAAAGTACTGGATACATTTTGATGAGATAAAAACAAGGGGATTTCAAGGTTAAGCTAACAATTAAGATTAATTGTGAATAATATGATATTCTAGATCAGAGTTCATCTAACCAACCCTACTGATTTATCAGATGTTCCTCTCTAAATGGTTGTATGTATTTGTATGTAAATGTATTTTTTTGTCAAAGTTGTATTGCTACTGTGTTCATTTGTCTGTATTTTGGGATGTTGCCCGTCAAGTCTTTAAGAGAAAAATCACAACCAATTTAATCAGAGTATCATCTGACTCACTGAAGCGGTCTCCCTTGACTGTCATGTTGAACTGATCAGAGCTTTTTTCAGTCTGAGACTTTGCTGCGTCTCATTGTTCATAGCCAAAAATAACTGTATAATGTGAAAGTAAATCCTTTTATCTTCCATTATACTCTGAGCATCATTTAACACCTTTCAATCCATTATTTCCATTATACATGTTAAATCCATAGTCCTCTTCGCATCCATTTTGAATAGTGTCCTTCAAATACAAATCAGCAGAGGGTTTTCTCACCTTCAATAGATTAGGTATTCTGTAAATAACCAATGGAAACAGGCTGTGATAGATCGCTTGTGTGAGAAAACAGTCACAGGGCAGAGGAAACTCAGCTGATGATTTCAGCTTAGCTCTTGATGTGTGTGTGATTGTTATATGAACCTATATATGTCATATACATTGAAAAGCATATTCGTAAGCCTAACCAAAGCTTCTTATTTAACTCTACACGTAGTTTTCTCCACTGGTACACCTGCCCTTTAAGCTAAGAAATGTCAGTTTGTGTGTTGTGGTCTTATAGAGACCTCTACAGGCCAAACTGTGTTGTTGAAGGTTAGGTGCCTCACTGCTACTTTTATGCAATACATTCAGTACATACGAAATATCCAGCATTAATCCATCTTCTTTAACCAGTCAGTTAATTTTATTCAAGCAGTGCTTTTATGTTTTCCACCTACTGTAATAATTTCCTCTTTACAGGTCACCACCAGCATAGAGCAACAGGCGACTGAATCCAGTCTGTGTGAGAGAAACACTACTGCAGGACTCAGCACTCAGGGTAAAGACAGCACTGCAGTGAACTCTACAGACGATTGTCGAATGTCTTTGTCTACTAGTAGTCATGCTGATGATACTTTCCCCCCTATTTTCAGCATCCGTTGACAGCGCGTCACTAATGGTGTCTGAGGTGGCTGATCAGGACCAGACTTGCTCTTCAGAGGACTTGTGCTCCCTGGAGGTCCAGGGCTCTGACTCCTCTCCCTATGGCACGCCCCACACTGCCCCCATTGATGGAAGCTGCAACAGCCTGGAACTTTGTTCACGCCATCGTGGGATGCCTAGCAGGGACACTCGCCCCAGTGATACAGGATACAGTGAGTCCTCACAGACCCAGGAGTCTCTTGAACGCTCTCCGGACTGGTCCTCAGAAAATTATAGCAATCTGGACCAGGAGGATTCCACAGACACACATCCATGTGAGGAACTCAGGGCTGCAATGCACATATGTGACGAGCTTGCATCAGCCAAACATTTACCAGAGGAGCCACCTAAAGCATCAACCCACTCCCTCATTAAAGCACGAATGATGAGCCGGAAGCTCACACTCCCTGTCATGCTACCCCCACCACCACAGCCTTGCTCCCCCACCTCTGTGGCCTCCTCTGGTGGAACTTCAGCCATCAGCCCTTTGGCTCCTTCTCCTTCCCCTTCCCCTCCTAGCAGGCCCCGCGGTCCCAGGCTGTGCTTCAGTGTTTGGTCACCCTCCTCCACATCACAACCCCCCTCTACCTCAGCCCAAAGTGGCCACTCGCCTTCGGAGAGGCCACGGGGGCTCCGAGCAGCTCGGAGGTACCGCAAACTGGCACGCATCGTTCGTTCCACCAGTGACCCTATCTCCTGCTCCTCTTCGACAGGAAGTGAGTGATGCAAGAATGTTATACTTAAGCTTAAAAACTCCATCTAAATATCACTAATTTTAGAGCTTGAACAATTAGTCAACTAAAATATTGTTTTTTTTCTTATTTTAAGCATAAAAGTCCAAAAAAATATTATTTTTTAAAATAAAATGTTTGCTATTTTCTTACATTTATTTATAGATCTATTGGTTAAACAAAACAATAATCTGCAGATTAACTGATTTTTAAATTAATAATTTGCGGCAGCACTACAGCCTTTCATTGTCAATAAGCAATGGTGGTAAGCTAAGTGCCTTCTTTGTTGGTCCACACATAAGTTTCTTGTCTCCCTCTACAGGAGAAAATGGAAGCTGCGCCTCTGTGAATAACCCTGCTCCTGAAGATTCAACTCATACATCACCAGAACAAGGTAGCATCATAGAAACTGTGACTTCATGTAATGGTGGGACATCAACTGCTTAACAGCATTCACAGTTAGATCTTAAGGGGAAACTGTAAATCTGGCAGTATGGAGAGCATAAAGTATTACGTTATGGTTTAAACAAATTCTAATACTTTATGCCATAAATCCTTTAATTCTCTAATCTTTTATTGGATTATCTGAAGAGAAAAAAAAGCACAGAACAATACAATACAAAGACAATTTTAGTTGAGCTGATTTTAAGGATGTGTTTTCATGTGATGTATCTTATTTAATGTGTTTACACAATTCTTCTCTGTTTTATCTTTAGAGCCAACAGATGTGGTAGGAGCTAAACCCAGTCACACATCTGTTAGGAAGCAGCAAAAAGAGGGCAGGAAAGTTGACATCCACCTTAAACCACGAGCCCTGCACACACACTCCTCCCACGAACGTCCGCACTCCCTGGCTGACCTTAAGATGTACAAGGACACCAAAATACTGGTGGCCAAGTTCCTGGAGCATTCGAGCTGCAGTCTACCTCCTGAAGTCCAGCAGGTTGTCAACAACATCAAGTGTGTCATCAAGTCGGATGAGAAACACATGGAGGAGGCCATTTTTAGTGCCAATGTCATAGATCAGGTAACTGAATTAGAGTAATGTCCAATGATAGTTTTATGCAAACCAGCAGTTTGTAGTGCTATTTCTGGTTTCAGCATACAAGACTAAAAGTAGATTTTAGGCTAGCAGCCCTGTGAGACAGTAATGGTCATGACACACCAGAAAATAAACATGTTGGATGCATGAAAATGTAATGACAACTTTGTTTATATTATAACTTTACTATTAGCAGGGACAAAAGGGGTGAGGTCTTGTGTATGTAATTTCTGTATATATATATATATATATATATATATATATATATATTGTTTTTATGAGTAGCATAAAGGGAAGTGCAACCTAAATTTCATTATACAATTCTGCGTTGTAAAATGGCAATTAAATAACCTTGTATCCTTGTCTAAGTAATGTTGTTACTTAAATCCAAAGGGTTTATCCTCTGTACACTGGAAGCTTTGGTACAGATTCAGGTCATCAATCTCATCTCTGCTTTGCCAGACTTAATTCAGCTTTCACCTGTCTCAAAGCTGAACCCAGGGTCAGTTGAGTGACATGCGTACAGTAGCATGTTAACACACACATAACATAATGCTGATGTTAACTTGCTCCAGTATTAGGTGAATTGAGGTGGTCTGGATGTTGATGAAGTAGATTGAACTGATGCAGATTTCTTCTGTGTCTGATAACGAGTTTAGGATTCTCAGTATACCTAGTTCCATTCATGGAAAAGAAATAAACATGGCTGCCTCAAAACTACAGTGGCAGAAATATATAAACGCAAACAAGCACATATATTGCTATTTGCTTGGAAAAGTCCCGAAATTAAAATATTTAGTAAAGCATTAAATATAGAAATATTTAACGGTAGCATTAGAAATCAATACCTTTTTTATTCATGAATCTTCTACATACTTGCCTTTTTTTTAAATTAAACTTAAGCTTAGCCTAAAATATGGCCATAACAGATCATTAAATTATATTTAATTTAATTATAAATTAAAATTTAAGTTTTTTATTAATTAATTAATGTGTTAAATTTGACAGTATTTGGATGGACAGGAGGAGCTGGGAATTGAACCACCAACACTGCATTAGGGGTCAACCTGCTATACTTCCTGACCCACAGCCACCCCTGTGCAGCATAAATTATATTTACATATTGTAAAATGCAAACAAACAAACAAAAAGGACCCTACACAACTAGTAATGTGTTTCTCTTTCATTCTTTGCTATTTTTTCTTACACAGGTGATGACCCAGCGCATCATTGGCAGTCCCAGGAAGCGTGGCCATGAGGATCTTCACCTTCAGAGCTGCGGTGCTTTGAGTTCGTCCCCTTCCATGCGCCGTCCAAAGGACCTCTCACAAACAACCAGCGCCTCCACCAACCCACTGGACTCCCCCTCCTCTGAACAAAGCCTTGAGTGCAAAGAAACTATTCTCTGACCACTCTCTCAACAAAGACTTGGATCAAAACTCTGAGGGCATTTCAGGCTGCTGGTGTTGCAGCCACGCTGTGCAGTGCAGCAGATGTCTGTAGAGTCATTAATAACTCCTCCAACTTTGAAAGATGATTTATTTTCACAGTGTGACTGCAGCACAGGCAAACTCAAATGGTCTGTATCTCCTAGTGCCCTGTGAGACCGTGCCAAGTCATCAGCAGAAATGGTAGCAAACTCAGACTGAGCCTGCCAGTGTCTGTAGTGGCTTCTTTCTCATCCGAAAAACAAAAGAATGTCTCTCCCTCAGGGGATCTTTTCTACTGAGTTTCATCTCTTAAAAAAGAAACAAATACTCAGCTGATTAGTTTGGATCTGGGACTGAAAGACAAAGGAGATTGTGTTCACATCAGTATTCCTCTTGTCCTCATAAGAAACAGCAAGAAATATGTTTGTATTAAACTGTGAACTGAACTGACTGGGCATTACTAGCCATTGTTTGCAGACTTTGTGGAACTGTTACTGATAGGGTGGTGAATATTTTGTGGTGCCGCTGGTTCAAGAACATCACAGATGTGGATTATTTAACTTACCTCATTGTGTTACAATTCCTATCAGTGTTACAATAAAATATGAGTTTGTAAATTGTGGTTTGTGTTCTTATTTCAGTGTCTCTGAATGATGTCTCCAGGTGTTTTGAACATCGGGTCACCTGGCTGGCCAAAATAATTTGGTGAAGCTAATATGTGTTTTTTGATTACATTTTTTTTAGACTTTTCCCCTTGCATATACACACCTAAATGCACAACACTTGTGATTGATGCACTGGCAATTTCTTAGCAACTAGACTAAAGTTACAGAGGCAGGGTGAGTCATATTAACTGAGTTATGTAAAGAATGAATAGAAGTTACAGAGGTGGACGGATTCCAAGCAGTCCTGATTTATTTGGTGCATACAAACAATATTGGTATTCAGCACATAGACTTTCCAGTTAGTCAATGCACAGAATAACCCTGAGGCTGCAGACAGTTATTTGTGACAGGAAAAGTGTTAATAATTAATAATATTTAAAAAATCTGAAAACAGACAACAAGTAATTGAGTATATATCAAATATAATCTTATGCTTTGTAAAGAAAACTCCCCATGCAGTCAGGTGCTGGTAGGTCGCAGGACCATGTAGTAAAAAAAGAAATCTGAATTAACCACTGCACACTGGAATGACTTTACTGTGACTTATTTAAGAGCTTGTAAATACTTATAAATAGCATAAGACTGCATGAAGATAGACTTCAAATAAGATTCCAGGCCTCAAAAGTCGCTTCCTAATGCTGCTTTAGCATTCAAAATTACACTATTTTCTTTTTTGCCACTGAAAGAAGGAGAACATTTTATAAGTGTTTGACTGTACACGTATTATTGTTTCTGCCACCGACAACCGACAGAGATTTAGTGGAAATACTGTTGCATAATACCAATGCATATGTGGGCTTTTGTTTTCAAGACTGACACGCAACACTTGCCTAATATCCAATTTGAATAAATGATTAAATCTGGACCCTTATTTCATTATAACTGTAAAGTGCTTGTTCATTCTGCCATGTGCTTCCGGTCTTGGGCACGACTCGCAAAATCTTAATCGTCCTGTTTTCATACAAGTTTATTGCTTTCACCGAGTGGCCGATTCTTTTCCTCTATAATTTAAAACACAAGTGTAGACTTTAAGACCACTGACACTGGATCACAGGCGTCAACCAAAGCTAGAAACAACACAACAAACAGAGCCACGCTTTCTCTGTGCCGCTAGACGATCAATTCGGACTTTTATTTTGAAATGTTTCAGCGCTTCAGAAGCTGAAAGCGGAAGTCAGGCTGGGCTGCGTACAGCTAGCTTCACGCGGCGCAGAAATCCTGTTTGGCAGGCAGCGAATCGTGGACAGTGTGATACAAAGCCTGTATCCTCAGTGTTTGGTCAGTTATATCACCAGCCTCACATCCTCCCCCCGCAAGAAGAGACGATACTTGTTGTTTTTTTTGTGTGTAACAGAAGCTAACGCTAATTGTGTTCTCGCGTCTAGCGTCGCTAGCTTATGTGAAGTGGTTAGCCGGACAGCGTTAACGTTAACGGGAGCTAACATTAACCTCAGGTCGGCATCGACAATCATCAGGGGGGTCTCGTTTGACGGTGATTCTGTGATTAAAGGAGCTTCAAGCGTCCGTAGATGCAGCCATATACTCGGCTCACTGGAGGACCGTGAGAAGGAAGTAGCACAAGGGCTAACGATAAACAGCTAGCTGTGTGTTTGTGTTTGCCCTCCTCACTGCCACGGTGCCGTGTAGTTGTCCACGTCTAGTCTCGTCTGCTGTGTTTAACGTCGCCAGCTGAGCTAGGCCACGTCCCTGCGGGCGTATTTCATCTAACCCACTGACATTGGACGAGTGGCGGAGAAGATGTCTTGTGTGCGGAAGGAGGAAGGAGAGTAAAAAGATCCGTAGAAATGTGAAAAGTCTTGCACATTCATGACTGTCTGTCTGTGTAGTGTTTGCATTTTCCGAAGGGTTGCCGCATATACGCGGCATGTCACGTAGACGGATGTGTTTTACAGCGGGAGAATACTCTCACTGAGATCTCTGTAGGTTGCGGTAACAACCTGAAGTAAAGATACACTTTTTGTTTTTTTGAAATGGTTGGGTTTGGTGCAAACCGACGGGGAGGCCGCCTACCGTCCTTCATCCTCATCTTCTTGATGGTGATTATCGCCATACTGTCTTTCAACTACTGGACAGTGTCCAACAGGCACGGCCGCTTGCTGGATGAGCTGGCGGAGGTGCAGACGCAGGTGAAGCGCACGGACGCGGCCCGGAGCCGGCTGGAGAAGCGGAACTCGGAGCTGATGGTGCAGGTGGACACGCACAGGAAGCAGATCGACCAGAAGGATGGAGACTACAGCGTCCTGGAGGGCAAGCTGCAGGCCCGAGAGGCGCTCATCAAAAAGTGCAGTGATGATAAGGTAAAGTAGGAATGATCCCATCTGTGATCTTGGTGGAGTGAAGTTTAATGTCACTGGTATTGAAATTTTACCACGTCCAGAAACAAGTTAACAAGTTAACCCAAGTTTTCACACACTGAGGGTAACCCTTCTGGTGAAATCATTCTCAGATGAAGCTCAGATAATTACAAACTCAAGTATCATATTAGTTTTTCCTCTCATTACCTCTATTAATTTTGTGTCTGTACTCTGGGTGTGACTGGTAATGCTCCCATATATTATTTAGTCAAGAAGTTGTCTGAGAACGCAGATAGAAAGGGGAATATAATGACAAAGCAGAATTGTTAATTTCACTAAACTAGCCAGGGAACTTTAGATAAGCATCAGTTAACTGCAATGCAAATAGGGAAACATTTTTTTCCATCACATCACAATATTATAATAAGCTTAATCATCTCACCATGTCTAGTCAAATCACATTATGTTGCTGTGATCTCCCCATTCTGTATCAGACGGAGCATGTATGCACTAACTCGTGATGGTAGGAGGTAGTTAACTTTTATCTGCTTTAAAGAGGCGAGGTGATAAAGTCATTATGAAAAGGGCAATGGTTTGTCTTGAGTTGTTAATGTAATGTTAATGGTCCTTGGTTGGGAACTCCTGCCTCAGTTCTGCTCCACCAACATAGTATTTATCTCAAAACAACTTCGCTCTCTCAGGTGCTTTAATATTCCTTTTAGGGTCATCAAATTATGCAATATGATAAGAATGTCCACATTCATTCGATACTGACTGACCTTTTGTCAACTAAAAATTACTTCCTATAATTTGCATCCCGTCTGACGTGCTTATTTCACATGGGCATTTGTTTAACTTGATATAGTCAAACCACTTGCTTGTCTGCACTGTCCCTCAAGTAGGACTAAATTAGGAGACATTCGACACGACGTCTCTTGAATAGACGCAGAAGATGACTTCATGCCTGTCTGCAAGATCAAAGCCAGCTTGATCCTGTCTTGAGTTTGCAAACATATCACTACCAATTGATAATTAATGACACGACAAGCTGATCACAACACATCAGACTTCCTTGTAGCTTCTTGGGTGCAAGTGCAGTTACTTTTAGTGCCTTAACAGTGCTTGTAATGGGCCACTTATTTATATAAAAGTTATCTTAGATGGATAAAGCAACAATATTCACCTGTCAGCCTAATGGAGGAATTTTTCAAATTATTTGCCATTCTCCTGCTGACCATCATACCCTCGCTGTTTGTGAGCCAAATCCTTTATTCTGTGGCCAAATCCAATCATAACAAAACAACCGTTAGCTTTCTGTATGTGCCTGTTGTTCTGGCACTGTATAATCTTCTACAAACTGACATGTTTTACTGACATTGTTTGTTTTTATTCCATACTAAAAACCCTCTTGGCAGCTAAATTGTTTGACACTGTTTGTGTAAGAGATTTAAAAAGCCGGAGCTCCGATTATTTTCTTGTTGTTGAAGGGAGAATATGAAGTGTGGAATAAAGAGGAGTCTAAGCTCCCTTGTTCCTTGTTTGATACTTCAGTATCCGGCTCCTTGTTTCCGTAATCAAGATAAAGGCAGGTGTTGAATGGCAGTTGTTCCACTCCTCTCTTTAGTCAACAACCCAACCCAGTTTCTATAGAGATACTTGCTACATAAAAAGAGAGCCCTGCAATGCAGAGAAATAATACTGACAGTTCAGACTTAACAGGCTTCCATACAGTACAGTATATTGTATCATTTAGATGCAAGAATGCATCATGGTAGCTTATACTTAATCAGGTGTTGTCCTCTATACAACCTATTTCAGCAGACTGTTAACCACCAGTGAGGGAGAGACGAGATGAAGCTGAGGTCTTGACAACAGTTGACATTTATACTGCATTTCCTCCTCCCCCTTTCCTCACTGCCTTCTGTCTCAGTCAATTATAACTCTTTCAAAAACTCAGTCACAACAGATTCCAAAGGGGGCAGGTTTTGGGCTAAAGGAGAAAAAAAAAGTATAAACAAAGAAATCTCTTAAACCTCTTGTGGCATAAATCACTACCCCACTGTCCATTTATAAGCTCAACCAGGGTGAAATATGGTCAAATTCACTTTCCTTTCTGTGGTATTTCCCCCCTCGAAGCTCCACCAATGTTTTCATCTGTAATTTGACATGAGTCATTGCAGTAATTTTTGTAACATAACGAGGCTGTGAGCTTTTGTGGGCTTCTTGGTTTTCTTTGTCTGCTTTAAAACCTGTCAGCACTGTAACATAAAATAATTACTCATTATTCTTGTGAACCAAAGCTTCTGTTTTTTTGTGAAGGACAAAACTACAACTTTTTGACAGCCACGTTTCAGACCTACAGGGATTGAGTGTTTGATACTCTAAAGATAGATTTTGGGTATCACTTAAGTTTCCCTTCCCTCTATCTCTCCCCTTCACATGCTTGCTTGTTCACTCCCTCCCTTCAAGACTGTATGCATACTAATGAGAGTTTTAAAACACACAAAAAGGAGCCAACCGTTTAGTTTAATAATATCACAGCAAGCTTCAATATGGGCTGCAGGCAATTTCACATCAGTACTGTTTCTTACAGAGCATGTATTGGATTACATTACAGTGTAGAAAGGTTTCTATTTG